GGCAATAAATTGTTTAAGAAAGAGTTACAGAGTATAGTCAGTAAGGAACAAGAAAATTTTTGAGTTTTTCAAACTCTGATCCAGTTAGTGAGGAACAAAGCATAGTTAAACTCAAAATTAAGTAAACCAAAATTCACGTCCATGTTAAACAATCTATTCCCAAGTTGATTTTCATGTTTTCATAATATACATTAGACATTTTCCCAAGTTAGATTAGTGAATTTCCAAGTGACGTTACTGGATCCCAATTTAGACAAGTTACTTTTTCTTAAACAATCTATTCTCAAGTGGGGTTTCGTATTTTCACAATATTTGTTGTTTTCACAATATGCATTAGCTATTTTCTTGAGTTGAGTTAGTGAATTTTCAAGTGACGTTAACGAAACCCAATTCAGTCAGGTTAGTAAAATTTAACAAGTCACATTAATGTTCATATTCTTCACTGAAGTTAGTGACTTCTTAAGTGATGTTTGTATTTTCATAAGCAGCCTTGGAACATTTTAAAAGTGAGTTTTATGTTATGACAGCATTTACACTTCAAAGTTTAAAATACCGCAGAAAAATTTATTCCCAAGTGAGGTTTTATGTTTTCGCTAGTTACGGTAGCAATATTCCTATGATACATTAGTAACTTCAGCAGTCTTACATGATGACAGCATTTACATTTGCATGTATTTAAATCTAAAATAAAGATCAGCATTATATTACACTAATTTCATTACATGTAGATGTCATTTTTATTTTTTAGGGAGAGTTTCTCTTCCTCATTTGTTGGAATAGCCAATCCTACATTCTCCATTTTTAGGTTGTAAGTTTCTATTCTAAGCAATTTCTTCACAACAGTGTACTCTTTCCCTCAATGGTGTGCTCGTCATCAACAATTTCTTCAGCTTTATTAATCAATGTTCTCTCCAACAGTGACAATGTCACTACCATTTGAGAAGGGTGAAGCCGAGCGGGAGGAAAGAGTATGAAGCTCTGACAGAGATGAATAATCACAAATCCCAAATATAGCATGATGTGTTCATAACACTGCAGCTAATATGGACATGCTAAGAAACGACAAAGAACGAGAACGAAGGAGAACAAAAGAAGAAAGAAGGAGACACTGAAATAGAGCAAGAAATGAGGTTATGTGCACAGGTATTTTGCTATTTTTTTCTCAGGGGTATTTAAGACCATCTACATTTTTTTAAATCCTAATGGTCCTTAATTGAGATTTTCATATTTCATGGTCCTCAATTGGGATTAATATCCTTAGAGAGTCTTTAATTGTCATTTTTCCAAAGATTAAAGGTGCATTTTTTACCTAAAATCTGAGTAATTATTTAAAATAAATTTATTTTTATTATTTAATTTGCATATAATATGACTTAATGTTAGTTGAAGTAAACCAAAAATGTAATTTTTTTTTATAGCTTCTATCATATTTATATCAGTATATGACTTGACTTTAAATATTTTTTATTTTTGAAAAAATTATATAATTTTAAATTATTCTTATCCTATAGTTTTCTTATACATCATAAAACTATTTTAATAAAATTTATTTTAAATATTAAAAAAATTAAAAAAAAACTTGTCGGTTATCTTTTTATTTAAATTTAGCCTCCCTACCTTTTGTATCCTGGCTCCGCCATTGAACATATTTAAGGGTGTACCTCATAAATTCCTTCAGCAGAGTTAATAGCACTCGCGAATAGGTAAATGGCAAATCAATCAAAGCTACCTAAAGCTGCTACAGTAATGGGCGTTCATGCAAAGTGAGGAATTAAAAAACAAAAAAAAAAAAAAAAAACCCACCTACTCTGATTACGCTATAAGACATCCCATGGATGGCTTTTTTACCAATATACTGTAAATAGTAAAAAAAAATTATTATAATGTTACACCATGAAAAATATTTATCAAAATGTTATATCGAAAATCGTTCAAACCGAAAATGATCTTGTTATTGTGAACAAATCATTCAGGTCAAGAATGATTTTATAGTCAACAATTATTTTTTTATTCAATGAAAAGTGAATTTTAACTTTTTTATTGATGTAATATTTTATTCACTATCAGCTACAAGACCATATGCTTTCCCTTCTCACTTTGCTTTTCCCACATGATTCATTCAAGCATAGGATAGATAGTCACTTACTATTATTAATGCTTCTCTGGCACTTGAAAAGTTTAATAGAACATCCAAGTACATGCAATGATATTGAAGACATATCTAACAATGGATCCAATGTATTGATAGTAATATTGGGTATGCGGTAAGTTTTTCACCTTTTTTTGCTAGTACCATTGAGTCAAAGTGGCTGAGTTGAAAAAGGATAATAATAAGGGTGATATATAGTGAGGCTTGAATTGAATAAGATTGAAAAGGGGTGATGATAATGATAAGCTCGCATGTAATGAAATTGATTACAAGTTTAAGACTTTTGTTTCCCTATATTTTTATTTTCAATTGGTAGTTTAGTAGACAAATAGCTACCATATCACTTGCCCAATCTATCTCAAAAAATTTGTGAATGAGGCAATTCAACTTTTGGTAAAGCAAGTTAAAAGTCCTTGTTAAATTGTTTTCTCATTGCAAATAAGATGTTGCATTAAACTTGTACAACTCTACCTTGATAATTAAAGCAATGAGAGCATTTTAAATGAGAATTAATTATTAGCCAGTATAACTCCTTTGTTATGTCAATCTAAAATAAACAAGACATTAGATTATAACAATTTTTTATTAATAAAAAAGATGATACAAATGAAAAAAGGTAAAAAACTTACTGCATACCCAATATCATTACTAACACGTTGGATTCATTGTTGAGTTTGTCTTTAATATTATTACATGTACTCAAATGCTCCGTCAAACTCTTCAAGTGTCGAAAGAACATTTATAATAATATGTGGCTACTATCTCATGCTTAAATGAATCGCGCAAGAAAAGCAAAGTAAAAAGAAAGAGCAAAAATTCTTACAATGACTAAAATGTCATGTTAATAAAAAGATTAAGGAATGATTTTACTTTTTATCAAGTAAAAAAATAATTTTTAACTATAAAATTATTCTTAACCTGAATGAATTCTCTACAGCCACAAACTCACTTTCAATTTAAATAATTTTTGGTGTATCATTTGGATAAATATTTTCCACAATATGACATTTTGATAATTTCGTTTTTATTGTTTACAATATATTAGTAAAAAAAAAAAAACCTCCCATGGATTTGATTTCAGTACGACTTCATTCAGCCATCGTTTGCAATTAAATGGACTCCAAATAGCACAAACCCAACACACCATTAACTAATTCATGTGAGTTGTACATGAATAACTATGTTGGCCTCTCAATGCCTCGTACTGAAATTGCCTCTTATTAAATTCAAATTTGCATCAAACACAACACGTGAGACCTGGGCATTTCATACTATCATTTAATCTCCATCAATTATCCCACTTAGAGAGCCAACGTCTTGGCAACAATATGATGAAAAAAACACAGCCCACTAATTTATATGCAGTGAAAATAAAAATCTCATCCACTTGTTAGAATCTCATAAGAGCAAATACACAAATATATGGCCAAAAAAATAAACAGCACAAATCAACAAAAGACATGAGAAAGAATTAACGTGGAAAACACCTCCCACATCAGCCAATGAATTGATGATCTAACTGCTGAAAATAACGAACCAAATGTACCAAATTAGCTGACCAAATTTCAGCTTGATCTAACATAAAACGAATTCGCAAATGCTGATTTATCGAAACTACCCTGTGAACATTCGAAAATAGATTTCCCTCTTCTTCTCTCTCAAATAATTGCACATAAAACATCAATATAACCTCTCTCTCATAATCTAATCTAAAACCCCCTCCACCTTAGCCAGTGCCACTCATAACGGAGTTCGATATTGAACCTTTCTTCATATGGAAAAAGAGCCCAAACCTAACACAGTACTTTAAAACATTTCACTTAGCTTCTCCGCCAATTAGAATCTTCTAGGAACTGTTGATAACTAATTTTGATACCAATAGATGAGCTACTAAGTGAGGTGAGAAAGCCTCCCTATAAGACTGGCTATATTAAGTTGGGATAATCAATACACTTAAATAACAGAAAATTCCCTACTACTAAATGTGAGGTTTAGGCATCACTTACCACCTTAGTCTCAATACAACAACAACAACAACAACAACAACAACAAGCCTTTATCCCACTAGGTGAGGTCGGCTACATAGATTGCAAGACGCCATTGTGCTCTATCAACCACCTTAGTCTCAATCAAATGTGTAAAATGTTTGTATTGCGAACGCACACCTAAAATTTAACCCAACACTATAGTTTACAGTACACCAAGAGCATCCTCAAAATTTCAAATTATTCTAATATTTCTTTGTCTGCAATATTTTGCACTCACCATGTGTGTGCACTAGTAGGACTTTGCATTCCATTTGAAGATCTAAAGTATAAATTTCTTCAACATCTAATAATATTAACAGCTCTATCTATGTTCATTGAAGTCTTCCAAATGGAGGAGCAAGCCTAACAATGTCTTCCATCATGTTCAGAAAAATGAAACACAAAATGAACATAAAATTTCTCAAATGAAGGATATAATATAGTATAACAAAAGTCCATGGATGTAATGAGATGCATCCTTTTAAAGATATTATTGATGATATTAGGCTTTTGCATCACAAGAATTGAAACTTGTCTATTAAGCACATACATAGAGTGTCCAATTCCTATGCTGACTTCTTAACTAAATTATCTTATAGGTTAGATGTCAATTTAGTTCCTTTGATCATCCTCCACCTCTTATCTAAGAGGCAGTTAACGATAAAAGCGACCAATTAGGAGACTCTTATCTGATGTAATCTCTTTTGATTTGTATGATCATGTTTTAATTATAAAAAAAATGAGTATGCTGCGTTTATAACCGGGGAAAAAAAAAAGCGAACAACATAAGTCCATGCATAATCATTACATTTGCGATATGACCATAAATAAAAATAGAAATAAAGCAAGTGATGACTTGAACAAAGAAATCATTACAAGAAGCCCAGAGTAACAAATCTGTGCAAATGTTCTCACTGAGTTCAACAGATCCATAAACCACCTTCTAAACTATATCCCTGAACTAAAAATTAAATATCCAAAGTTACACGGAAATATGAAGGAAAAAAAAAACTCTGCCAATTAAGAATTCATATGAAAGAATATGCGCTAAAGTGTATACAAACACATCATCTAAGTTTTATCCAGCATGACAGTATGTGAAACAAGCCTTCAAGTTCAACTTGAGTTGTATTCTATCAACACATCGACATAGGTAGAAATCCATTGTACATCAACACGTATCTGCGCATATACAATACCATAACACAAGATGAGGGTTCCTCTTGCGAACATCAAGAGCTGCCCAATCACATACTCATTCCGATAAAGAAAAATAGCAGATACATATAAAAATATAGAAATATTACAAAAGCCATATAAAGTAGTAAATACATGTGTGTCCAAAACATAGCAGTCACAATTTGGTATTTGTATGATGAAAGAGCAAGCAATCAGCAGATCTATTATGCTGAAACAAAGGACGGTTTCAAATAGTAGAAATTACAAAAAGAGGAGTGGAACTTGTTAATTCAGTACATGTGAATCTGTGTGTTTGTGCATGCAAGAGAGAGAAATAAAGAAGACGATGGTAATATATTAAAAAGTAAAATTTACAGCAAAATCAACAGCCACAATATGCCAATTCAGTGATCCGCAGGAGTTTATTTTTCTCCCTTAGAAACAAAGATTTTAAGGACGAGCACAATGTGGAAGGATAAAGCCAAAAGAGGGAAACACAACAGAAAACCAAATAAAATGGACATGCAAAAAAAAGGGCATCCCAATCTCTCTGCAGGTGCATGTGCGGTGATTCTCCAAAACTCTAGCAGAACTACGGTACAACACAACTTACGATTTTGCTATTTACATGTCACCATTTGAAGCAATATATGGTTTGCCACCACCAGCTCATTTCGTACCTTTGTGGGAGACTTCTAATGTATGATTACCATTCTTACTTGTCTAAGAAACTGATCATTTAGTTCCTCAAGCAGCAACTTCTTAAAGCACGTCATATAATGGTGCAGCAAGCTAATAAGAGAAGCGAAATGGAAGTTTTGGTTAAGGACTTGGTTAACCTAAAGTTACATCCTTTTTGAAGGGACTTGACATGCAAAACCTCCCCCCAAAAATTAGATGCACATTATTTTGTGCCCCACCATGTACTAAAGTGAGTAGGGTAGTTTGCATATATGAGTTGGAACTTTTAAGAAATTTGCATATTTGTCTAGTTCATCACATGTCGATTCTCGAAGAATATATTTGTGCTACTGCAGAAGGCAGCAAGTAGTTCCTAGCCATTGGTGAATGATGGTCGTCACTTTGTGATAAGCTTGGAAAAGATTTTGGGAAGGAAGCTTTTGCGCCAGAGCGTATCTAACGGTGACTATGGTTCTTGTCATGCGGGAGCATTTCAGACTTGAAGATGCCACTTTGGGAAGATCTTTCTTCCATACAACATCAATTTTAAGATTTTTCTATTGTTGCTTCTTTAGTTCCTTCCTCCGTTATTGTGGACAAGCATTTTTTTTTTTTTTTGGTATATGATCCGTGTTAGATGTCATTAGTAGATGTTACAAGTTAATTGTTATGAGTGCAGTAATGAATAAAGCAATGATGAACCGAGAGTAAGTTAGTAGTAGTTGTTAGCGTAGTCAGGTAAGAGAATCTTCTTTCATATATGAATATCATATAGAGATGTACCCTTGATTATTTAACATGTGAATGTGAAATCTTCTATGACTCTTCTTCTTTTCACAAATAGCCTCGCTTCAAATTATACCAGACTGCATAGCTAAAAATTATATAAGAAGTCCCTCCACCTCAGCAGCTAGCTATTGATTACCAGTAGAGTCAAACGCCCACTGAAAATAGAATATTTGCAGAGAGAAGGGTGCCTTTGGATTCAAAACTCTAGCTAGAAAAATAGTTTACCTATACACACATTTCCTCAACAGTTAATACAATTCACAAAGAACTCATAGGAGGTACTAAATGTGCTCCTTTGCAATCTAGGGTGAATGGGCATGATTTTTTCCCCACTGTTTTGGCAGATAAAGAATTTTGTAAATAAAAGATTAAATAATTTAAAAACATAACAGGACGGGAAAAAAGCAATATGCAGCTATTACCAAAAAAAAAAATTAATAAGATTTCTACCACCTTAACCATTGTGCATCATCCACAGTAAATGTCACAATCACAAATTTGAAAAGTAAAGGCGGGAGGAAGAGTCATCATTACCAAAGTTCCCTATCAAAAATGTGACATGAATTTAAAAAGAAAGAAGAAACAGCTTACCAAAGATAAGGGAAAAAAATTAAAAATAAATTGGAGCATCAAGCAAGTCATGCAATGACAAGTTGCAAGATAGCCAACCTAGTTAAAGCCACTTTCCATTTTCTTTCGCTTCAACTCCAAAGCCATACGTTCATTTTCAAGCTTCATCCTCTCATTTTCCATTCTCATTTTTTCCAAATCTCGGTCTTTTTTCTTACAAAACCTCTGCCACTTCAATCTCTGTTTCTCTAGTTCCAACAACTCAACCTGAAGTTGCATCTTCTGTTCTTCTAATTGAATTGATCGAGATTCAATCCATTGCTCTTGTAACCATGTGGCTTTCTTGCTTTCAGGTAAACCTTGATTCACATCAGATTGGACCATCATTCCATGTGGATAAGAACTTTTATTGTAGGCCCTAGAATTGGAGGGATTCACAAACATAAGATCTTCTTGGCTCTGTTTCAATTTCTTCATAGATCCCCCCAATGTCCCATGTGTCCCTCTGTTACCTCCATGACAAGCATAATCCTCATGAAAGTCGTCGTCATCATCATTTTCCAAATCCAGATCATCTTCATCATTATCATCATGGTAGGAGCTTCTGACATCATCATTATCATGGTCATCTCTATTTTTAAGAGCCAGTTGCAGTGAGCACCGCAATGCTGGATCATGGGGTAAAGCCAATCTATTACAATTATGATATGAACACATCTCTTCATAGAAGAGCTGTTTCGAGCTTAATATTTTCCGAACATCATCCTTTTCTTTCTCAGAAAGAAAATCTATTTCATCCAAAAGTGCAGGGTTCTCAACAACCTGACAAGAAGTTCCCCTCCCAAGCATATCATTAAGCTTTTTATACCTCTTATTAAGATCATTAAATTTATCCTCACACTGCTGAGGAGAAACATGAAAACCTCTTTCAGCCATGACCTTGGAGATACATTTCCACTTGCCCTTTTTCTGTAGGACTGCAAATTTTCTTCTTCCTCCGCCACCAAAATCACTACTTACGTCCTCGCTTAAATATGAAACAGCTGTAATCAGTAGCTTCACCATATTATCAGTCCACTTAACACGGTGCCAAGGTGAGCCCTTTTTTCCTCTTCCATCTTCAATAAAGCTTCGCTCGTCCTCCTCACTTGCTGAGCCTTTACTTCTATCTCCCCTGTTAAAATCTGTCAATGAAATGGTTTGATCACAGCTATGTAAGGTTCCCATTGACAGCGGAAAGCCTTCATGAATAGGCGAATGCCCTTGGTGTGGATGAGTTTGATGGTGATGACTTGATTGGGGATGCTGTGATTGATGAGAAAATGTTGGAATATCAAAACCCCCAAAAGAAGAAGCCCCTGCCGGAACTATACCTCCTTGTGACATATTTCCTTCCATTGGTTCTTTGGAACGACGATTCAGATCAGAACAATAAAGCCATCAAACTTGAAATTCTAGTTTTAATACATTTCAAATTCTCCTCATTGAATCAGTAGCTTCTCAATCTCATCTAATATATTAAGTCTCTAGATCTTTAATTAAAAGAAGCCCAAAAATCTCTCGTAAATCTTCCCTCAAATATCATCTCTAATATCCCACGCCAATGTTCTCAGCCCACAGAAAGAATTCATAAGCCAAGACGGGAACCCAGTTCGTAAACCCAAAGAAGCAAAAGGGAAAGAAATTTCACAACAAAGTTCACGAAAATGAAACTTCTAACCCTTCAGAGTTCATCGACATTCAATAGAAGATAGAAATGAGCAATCTGCCAAGAATATAAGACCCAAAAGCTGTGATTAAGCTGAGAATCCAAAGGTGAAGGTCACGAGAAGCGTCCGAGTCCCAGCAAAAGAGAAGAAACTGAACTGACGGAAGAAACGTACAAAAACAAGGAAAGTCTCTTGTCATGGAAACCCTCAGATGCCACAAGAAGAGAGAAGAACCTCAACAAGTTCAATGTATGAGCAGATCCGGTGGGATCCACTTAGCCAAAACGATGTCACATTCAATTATTCAAATAGGGAGGAATTAATTAAAAAATCCGCGAGAAAATGATATTTATAGAGATAGTAAAACTATAAATCACAGTTGAAGAAATAAAATTATTGAAATATCATAAAAGTATAAAAGTATCATGTTTTTATTTAAAGTTAAGACTTTTTTAATAAAAAAATTGAAATACTTTTTAATTATTAAATTAAAATAATTAATAAAAAATTGCTCATAAATTTAAGAAAGGGACAGTTATTGAAATATCATAAAAGTGTAAAAGTATCGTGTCTTTAATTGAAATTAAAATATTTTTAATTATTAAATTGATTAATAAAAGGTTGCTCATGAATTTATGAAAAAGAGAATTAACTTGTATTATCAATTTTGAATTATATCTCTGTAATTTACTTTATTTTTAACCTAATCCTTGTATTTTAATTAACTAAATATATTAATCTCTAAAATTAAAATTATTAATAAATGGTTAACATTTTCAAACCAAAACCACTTTTAAAATTTACAGAAAAATTTATTTTATGCTTTTAGCCCAAAAAATTAATTTAATACAATGTTTACAGTTTTATTAACTTTTTTATGAAAATTATATATATATATATATATATATAATTTATTTAAAAAAGATAACCTAGTTATAAAATTTCTGAGCTATAAAAACGATGTAACTAACTCTGAAGTTTTATAATCTGTTAGTAAAAATAAAAAAAAATGTATAATTTTATCTTTTAAAAGAATAATTCAACGATTTCAATCCTTAGGAATTAATATATTTAATATGTTAAACTATAATGATTTGATTAAAACAAAATCAATTACAATAATTTAATTCAAAATTGAAGGAAACTAAAAAGGCTTACAATCTAATTTTTTTTAAAGAATGTTAGTTGTGAATTAAAAAAAAATTACCAATAAATTTATGAAAGTTCAATTATGAATGAATAGTTAGATTGACTAGTCTCATGAATATATTCATTTTTATTTAAGCATTTTAGAAAAGTTACTTGTGAAATTATAGAAACTAGACAGTTTCTTAAGCATTACACGAGTTAAAATAAGAAATTTAAAACAAATATTATCAATATTATTGATATCAATACATTTAAGATAGTTAAATTTTTAAGAATTTCTTTATTCGATCATTTTCTTTTTTAAATACTTTATTTATACACATCTTGTCTTTATTTTTTGAACCTATAGTGAAAAATTTGTGCAAAAAATGCATGTTCTTAGAGTGTTTAGAAAACATTGGTAAAAAAAAAAAAAATCTGTAGAATTCTCAATAACCCCTCATTTTCAATTACGTAAGAAAATTAGACATTAGTTTATAAATTATGATATAAATTATATTTTTATAAATATGGATGTAAGGAAAAATCTAAAGAGATCCTTTTTTTTAATTATATTCTATTCTTTTGTATTTTTTTTTGTTTTTATTCTTCTTTTTTTTATGTGCACAACAAAAGGGCCACAAAAAAGATACATTTACCACTCAAGTTTTGTTAAATGTTAACAAAAGGGCCCTTTAAAATGTATTGTGAAATATACACAATTTAAAGGGCCAATATTATGAGATAAAAATTGATGATTTAAATTAAATTTAAACTTCTTTTTATTTCCTTTTTATAGATAATGTTTATGGATGATAGTTGACGAAAGTTAATTGATATTGAATACAACAAATTAAGAAAATACATAGAAAATATGAAAAGAAATTAAATCTCATTGATCAGGAAAAATGAAAAGGCATAAGAAAGTACAGCAAATGCAGAAGTATAGTCAGATAGAGTTCATGCTAACGATTAAAGGAATTTGAAAATGGGTTACTTTTAAATCAATGCTCTCATAAAAGTAAACTGAAAATACATAAAAAAATAAAAAAATAAATTAAATTCATTGATTAGGAAAATTGAAAAGGCATGCAAAAGTACAATGAATAAAGAAGATAGTCGAATAGAGTTAACGCTAATGATTAAAAAAATTTTAAAATGAGATTACTTTTGAATCAATACTCCTGTGAAAATAAACTAAAAATACATGAAAAGTAAAAAAATAAATTAAATCTCATTAATGAAAAAGAAATTTTCATATTAATATTAGCCTAAAATCTATTAATCAATGAGGGTCAATTTTAAAAAAAAATAGAATTGCTCTTAAATCAATGCTCCCATGAAACTAAATTGAAAATACATGTAAAATAAAAAAAATAAATTAAATTTCATCAAATGCTCCAGTAAATGTAGACTAAAAATACATGAAAAATAGAAAATAAATCAAGTCTCATTAATGAATCAAGAAAAATTTTTCATATTAACATTAACCTAAAATCTATTAATCAATGAGAGTCATTTTTTTTTAACCACTTAGATTGAAGCTACAAGATTTATATATTGATATATTGACAATAATATTTATATTGATGTATTGATATTGATGATAAGACAAGATGCCTTGAAAAGAAAAACCAAAACGCATGAGGAAATGCAATAGACATAGGCCATGAATAGGAAAAAAGGGAGTCAGTTAATGCTCCTATTCAAGTTGTGAATTACAGTTCAAAATTTAAAATTTAAAATTGGTGGGCCACATGAAAAATTGATTGAACCAATGAGAGAAAATAATTAAATTTTAACCAAGATAAAATAACCAAAGATAAGGATCAAAATTTGACCAATGGAATACTTTCTATAAGATTTGTTAATATATATTGAATCAATAGTAAATGGATATTCAGAAATATGAGAGGTACTTAGTTCATTAATTTACAATTAACATTATTCAAATCCATTCACAACTATTGATATTTCATAAGAAGTTCTTAAATGGACCTAGTGAACTACATCATTTATTGTCTATTCAATAAAAACATGATATTCAAATGGTATTAAATATAAATTGATTTTGACATTAACGAAAGTAGAGAGATAAATATATAGTTAGGGCCTTAAAACCTCATTAAACGTGATTAAGCAAAATTAACTCCAAAACTCTCTTCCATTAACTTATTTAAGCACCATTAAACTTAATAAAGATTGTTAGCTAATCTCATTAGTTTAAACTTAATTAATTATCATTTGGATTTATTCTAAACCCATTATTAACCACTCTAATCATTGTCATTAGCTTAAAATAAAGATTAGAAATTTAAATAACACTCATCAAACCTCATTAAAATCATTAGAGTGGGTAAAATGTTGCTATCATTCCACAAAGCAACTCCCTATACCAAAAACTCCTAGGAAAAGCATGAAGAAAAGAGAAGAATGGAAGAGAAGCCTTATCTAAAGGTTGTTTAACTTGAAACAAGCCTCCAAGGGTCACCTTTCACTTGGGTCAGAAATTTGAGAGGATCGGGCTTATTTAGGTTGAGCTCAATTAGGACTCAACTTATTTAAATCGAGCTTAAAATATCCTACTCTCTTAAAAAAGGTCATATAGCCAAGCCTAACTCTAACTTTTTTTTTTTGTTAGGTTCAGGCATGATAAAAATTACTAACTTTATATATATATAGAGCTAGAAATCTTAACAATCAGGCTTATTCAAACAAGGCTTAACTTGAGCCTAGCTTAAAGTATTTTATTCTCTTAAAAAGCCTATATAGTTAAGCTTAATCCTAATTTTTTTAAGCAAGTTCGTTCTAGCCTATTATATTTGGCCCGAATTACCAACCTTACCTCTCACAAAATCGAATAAAGCCTCCTTGTGCTCTCGTGGTTTCACCCTCAAATCTCTCTTTTAGTTTTGCTTTCTGATACCTCTTAAATTTTGAAATTTGACACATATGCTGCAAAGCATGACATTGTGCACCACGACGGATGGCACAGATTGGAAATCCTAACTTAAGTCCCATTAATTTAGGCCTAAAGCAACCTTATGGCTCTTCTATTCCCCTTTTAAACCTTATATAGGGTCCAATGGACCCAACGACTATCCAATTATTCTAATTAATTCAATTAGAATTTAAATTAATTAACTTAATCCTCAATAAATTTTAATTAATCTTATGTTAAATTTCAATATGTTATAAGAGGAGAGAAAATGATTAGCCCCTCCCCTTCATTTTCCCATCTAAACAAGGAGAGGAAATATTTCACCCTTCCCATCCAAACAAATATATCCTAAATCAACAATAGTGCATGGATACCTATTAATCTTATAAAAGAGACCATTCTTTCCCAATCGAACTTAATAGTCTATGTTAGGTTATTTAAACAAATTGGGAAAGCCTGACCTCTTTTATAAGATTAATGGGTATTTATACATTATTATTAACTTAAATACATTAGAAGCTCCTAGAGAAAAGGTTTATTAATGTTTTTACACCTTAACCCATTTTATATTTATAATTCTAGTAGAAAGAAAATGGATAACTCGCACATCGCATTAGTTAATTACAAGTTTTTATATAATAACTTGAGAATGAAATTTTTAGTCCCTTGAATTTCCTTCAGTTATTAATTTGGTTTCTTAAGTTTTTTTTAATTATTATGTGAGTCTTTTAAGTTTTCAATCATAAATTAACTTTCAAAATAATTTAAAATGTAAGTTAAATAAAAATAAATTAACTCTTAAATCAGTTTAATTTTTTATCAATGTAATCCAGTACATTATGTTTTATTCTCTTGTTTTTTTAAAAAAAATTTAGGGTTTGCTTTTTTCTTACCTAAATAATTATACTTCTTTTCATTAAGTTGCATGGCTACCATAAATATGCTATATCCATAAACAACAACAACAACAACAACAACAACAAGCTTTTATCCCACTAGGTGGAGTATGGTACATGGATTGCAAGACATTATTGTGCTCTATTATTTACCAAGCTTTTAAAAATATTACTAATTAAGAGATTGCGTTCAACAATTTTTAAGAGTATTCTCTTAGGCCTTCCTCTACCCCTCTTAATAAGGCTCAAAGTTATATATTT